GGATTATAAGTGGTCTAGACCATCGTATGGTGGCCGAATGCCCTTTCCCCCCCCCTTAACGGATATTTTTATTCCAAATTATTTTCATTCAATTCATTTTCATCTTCAAATATTCATTTTCATTTCAAATTATTGTTCATTCCAGAATTCATTTTTTCATTTTCATTCGCAATTCATTTTCTTCCAAATCATTTTTCCATTTTCATTTCAAGATTCATTTTTCATTTCAAAGTTCATTTTCATTCAAATTGCATTTTTCATTTTCATTTCAAATTTATTTTCATTTTATTTAAAAATTATTTTCTATTTTCCTTTCCAATCTCATTTTCATTTATTCAGTTTCATTTTTTTCAAATTCATTTTCATTTCAAATTCATTTTCATTTTCATTTTCATTTTCATTTTTCATTTTCATATTGTAAATCATTTCATTTCATTTGCAATTCATTTGATTTTCGATTTCATTTCCAGTTTCATTTCAAATTCATTTTCAATTTTCATTTCAATTGCATTTTCATTTTCATTCAGTGTTCAAATTCATTTTCAATTTCAGTTTTCATTCCGATAACGTCATTTGCGACTGTAATCTCGCAGTGGCCCGAGATGGCTACGCATATTGGTGGGGCGGAGATGACGCACTTCAACTTAGTGGGAGTCAACAAGAGAAGAAATCGCCAGTTGTTTTGGTTTTATGATCGGTAGATAAGTAAGCGTTTTTCTGCATGTATATTCTATGAAAAACACACATTAATATAACATATAATATCACTATAGATTGCAGCATTGTGTTGTGTAAATGTGTTATTTTCATCTTTCTTTTATCTAAGTTATTACGAAGGGTGCTCGGCTCGTAATACGACAACTACGTACTCGTACTACTGCCAACTGCCGTACTGTATATATGCGCCTCTTGCTCCGTCCGCAGAGAGCATACCACCTTTCTTTGCTGTTAGGCTACTGCCAAAACTCGGTTAACCAATAGCAATCCGAAACAGTCTGTGGTTGAATCGCCGCGGCTTTACAATGTGTGTGGTTGTCGCGTCCATCAGTGTTGCTAACAGCAAGCAAACGCGCATAGGCACACGGCGCGCACACCGGGCACACACACACGACAGCACACACGGCGCGCAAACGAGCACCAACGCACCGCATATGCACGACGGCGGCGTGCAGCACGCAAAGGCGCTCGCACACACACAGAATCACTGCGACGGAGCGAAGGCTATGTACCAGTACGGAAGATTGTGCATGACGTACTGTCGTACGTCGTATTACGAGAGCGCGAAGACCCTCTAATAACTTAAGATAAGGATTTGAAATAACACATTTAAACAAAGAATTGCAATTATAGTGAGTATTATTGTTATATTAATGAGTAAAATGTGTGTTTTTTCATTGAATATACATCAGAAATACCTGTACTTATCTACCGATCATATAACTCAAAACAACTGGTTTTGTTCTTTGTTGACTTCCACTAAGGGAGGTGACGTCACTCCGCTCCACCAATTCCGTAGCCATCTCGGCCACCACGAGCTTTCATGCGCAATGAATTTGGAAGAAAATGAAAAATGAATTTGATGAAATGAATAATTTGAAATGAACATGATGAATTTGAATGAAAATGAAAATGAAATGAATGAATTGAAATGAAAGATGAAATGAATAATGAATTTGAAAATGAAAAATGAAATAAATAAAATAGAATAATGTATGAAATGAATGAAATAATTTTTGAAAATGAAATGAAATATTGAAATGATAAATGAATAAATGAAAATTTTGAAAATGAGAATTTGGAAATAAATGAAATGAAAATGAATTTTAAAAATAAATGAAAATGATTTGAAATAGAAATGAAAATGAGACTTTGGAATCGAAAATGAATAAATGACTGAATTCTGAAATGAAAATGAAAATAAATGAATTTGGAATGAAATATGAATTTGAAATGAAAATGAATTTGAAATGAAAATGAATTTGAAATAAAAATGAATTTGGAATAAAAATATCCGTAGCCATCTCGGCCACCATACTACAGTGACAGTCACGACACGCGCTGCTACAGCTACCATTGTCTCTGCATGCCTGTATTACGCGTTACTTCGGTGATGGGACCAGCCCTCAAATCGAATAGGTTCAATCACAATTTTATTCAAAGGATAATAATACTTTATTCACCAAAAACTAGGATAATACTTTTGTGCTACTTTTTCATTCAATGAAAGAATGTTTGGATTACATACAGTATATATAACCATTGGATTACACTTTGGAGTGATTGGATTTATTATACTCCAGTGACGGAATGAAGAAGGTAGGTCAACTTGACCCATTGTATGGTATAATTATTGTATTGTAGACATGAATAGGGACATGTTAACTAGTACTAGGGTCCAACAAACTCACCTGTACTATCTGTAATTGCCTGTACATTAATGGACGGGTAACGCTTCCGATTTATGTATGCAGGTTCGTCATTGACGGGGCGCTGAATTCGGACGTGTGTCCCGTCAATAGCCCCTACGACCCCAGGAAATCCAGCGAGTTTATGGAAGCCTTCCTTTTGTTTTGCAATTTCGCTATCACTAGCAGGCCACTTGATGAATATGTTTCTTTTCCCGTTCAGAGATTCCGTGACATCCTTTATAATTCTTGATACGGTTGCTTTCGAAACTCCGAAAGTGTCCCCAATTTCATTCATAAACACTCCAGTCGCGTAAAAACGTAGAGCTATGAGAAGTTGTACAATCGCCGGAATCGCGCATTCAACCTCTTTAACTATATCATAAAGAAATGATATTCCTCTCCTCCCGAACCGGTACCTCTGCCTTAACTCCTCGTCATTCAATGTATTTATAAAATCGTATCGATGTCTATATTGCCTAATATTTCTCATGCATACGCTCGTAAATAATTGCGGCCTCCATGTTGTTTTTTAGTATAGCAACTAATCATGATTAGTGGATTTGATCATGCTCCTGAGTAGAATTAAATATTGTGATTAACTTAATCATGATTAACTTTAATTACTCTTCGTGAAACAGTCACTTCAACTTAAGTACGAGAAGTTAATCATGATTAAATACTTAAGTACGCTTCGTGAAACCGGCCCCTGGTATCTGAAGCCTTCAGGACCAAGCTCAGTTCAGGCCAAAGATTAATGGAGGTGACGGAAAGGGACTGAGGAAATTAGCAGACTTTTTGCGACAGTGCTCATTAGCGATGAACCACATCTCTACGTTGAAGATCTTGGATGACTGCCATGAAAACCAAAGGATTTTGTGCAACTGCCTGATTGGCTGACTCGTAGATGGGGCAGAATAGTTGCTACTTCGAAAGACACATACCCTTCCTTCAAAGACTTTGCCGCCGGCTTTGTCGCGCGTGAAGCGGACATAGCATGTAACCCCATCATGTCTCAGAATTTTGGCAGTAAAGACTTTCAGAAGAAACTGCCTGAGAAATCAACAAGGCGACCTGCAAGGGCTAGTGTGTTGGCTAGCGAAGCAACGAAACCAGCAGAAGTGAAACTTTGCATATTCTGCGACAAACTCAATCATAATGTGGACAGTTGCCAAGCATTCGGAGGCAAGACTCCAAGTGAGAGACGAGAATTCTTAATGAAGAATGGACTCTGCTTTGGCTGTCTGAGGCAGGGACACCTTGCTAAGAAATGTCCCAAGAAGAGTAACTGCGGAAAGTGTCAGAACAAGCATCCCACCATCCTACATGGGGATTATGAAGCTCTCCACCCCCTGCTGACCAAGATAGCAGTTTTACAAGACCGGACAGAGATAGTAGAGTGTCCTCGCGAACAAAGGTAGATAGTGTGGCTGGTAGATCGTCCATGATATTGCCAGTCTATCTCTCATCATGGGGTAATCAAAACAAGGAATGCCTTGTTTATGCACTGTTAGACACGCAGAGTGATACAACCTTTGTGCTGGAAGAAATCGGTGATGACACAAGTGCATGCCCAGAATCGACAAGACTCAAGTTGTCAACAATGACATCCACATCCGTGATCGACTGTCATCGATACACCGACTTACAGATCAGATGTGTGGGCTGTCATGAACGTTTCCGGTTACCTGCGAGTTATTCCCGGAGCTTCATCCCAGTAAACAAATCACACATTCCTACACCGGAAGTAGCCAAGAAGTGGCCCCACCTGGAGAACCTATCCGACAAGATTGCACCTTTACAGAACTGCGAAGTGGCACTGCTGATCGGGTATGACTGCCCAAGAGCACTGGCACCTATGGACGTCGTTCGCGGAACGGCCGACGAACCCGTTGGTCTGAAAACGGAATTAGGATGGACTATAGTTGGACGAACTATGTGTGCGACAGATGAGGAACACATCACACACAGAGTACTGACAAAGCCTATCCCGGAAGAAGTCAAGGTGCACGGGAGAGACGAAGTCAGTTTTGTATGCCGAACAAAGATCTCCGAGGAGATTACGCTTCCACAGATCAAGATTCTGGAAAGCGACTTCCAGGACAAGAACCAAGAGACAGTAATGTCACATGACGACTTGAAGTTTTTGCAGATTGTCCAGTCTGACATTCATCGGGATGCAGAAGGGTTTTATGAGATGCCACTTCCATTCAGGGACGGCAAACCAACATTGCCGGATAATAAAGACATGGCCATACGACGTCTAGACCATCTCAGAAAGAGGTTCAAGGCAAATTCAACATATTACGAAGATTACAGAAAGTTTTTGGACAACGTCCTGCAGCATAGTGACGCTGAAGAAGTCCCGAGTAAAGAAGTTGATTCCACTACGACTACGAGCTGGTATATTCCCCATCATGGAGTATACAATCCGAAAAAGTCCGAGAAAATTCGTGTCGTTTTTGATTGTAGCGCACGTTACAAAGGACCCTGTTTGAACGACCACTTGCTACGAGAGCCAGACCTGATAAACTCCCTTATTGGCGTCTTGAGTCGCTTTAGAGAAAAGTCAGTAGCAGTGATGGGAGACGTGGATTGTATGTTCCATCAGTTTCGCGTCAATGGAGAAGATCGAGACTTTTTGAGATTCATGTGGTTTCGGAACGAAGACATGGATCAAGAAGCAGTAGCGTACAGGATGAGGGTACATCTGTTCGGAGCTACTACCTCCCCTGGATGCGCTAACTTCGGTTTGAAGAAACTTGCCGCAGATCACAGAGGCGAATTCAGTTCAGAGGTTTGTGATTTCCTCACCTACGATTTCTATGTGGACGACGGCTTGAAGAGTTGTGCAACAACACAGGAAGCCATCAAGCTCGTGGAAGACTCGAGAACACTGTGTGCCACTGGAAATTTGAGGCTTCACACATTCACCTCAAACAACCAACGCTCTATTCCGGAGTCTGAGAGAGCCAAAGAACAGTCGCTGGACATAAGCCTGGGTGACTCGCAAATGGAAAGAGTACTTGGGATACACTGGTCCGTGATTCCCAACCAGTTTTGCTTTCGACTGAAGCTTGGTGAAAGGCCACTGACTCGCAGAGGAGTATTGTCCGCAGTGGCCTCTGTGTACGACCCCCTTGGATGCTTGGCACCATTTGTCTTGAGAGGCAAGTGGATCCTACAACAATTGTGCAAGGAGAAAGTTGGATAGGACGACCTTCACAGCGAGAGTTTACGGCCCCAAATGGTAACAGCGGGTGGCAGAGCTACCTACTCTTGAGCAGCTACAAATCCCTAGATGCCTAGTCCCCGAGAAATTTGGAGACATCTTCAGCTGCGAACTTCATCACCTCTCCGACGCCAGCGTGAGCGGTTATGGACAGTGTTCATATCTTCGGGTGAAGAATCAAAATCAAGATGTGCACTGTGCCCTAGTGATGGGAAAGGCTCGGGTGTGTCCTCTGAAAGTATTGTCCATACCAAGACTCGAGCTTGCCGCAGCTCTCGTTTCGGCGAAGATCAGCAGCGTTTTGAGAACTGAAATGACCTACGCAAACATCCAGGATTACTTTTGGACAGGCTCCAAAGTGGTCCTTGGGTATATCAACAACGACGCAAGAAGATTTCATGTGTACGTCGCTAACCGTGTACAACAGATTCGAAACATGTCTGAGCCGAGTCAGTGGAGATATGTCGAGAGTGCAAACAACCCAGCAGACCATGCATCCAGAGGTCTACATGTTGACGAGCTGATTGAGCCTAATTGGCTCAAGGGGCCTGCTTTCCTGTGGAATCCCAGGGTGATCGTCAAGCAGCCGGAGGATACCCTGCTCTTGCCCGAGGATCCGGAAGTACGACGTGTGATTATCAACAGGAACAAGACGTCAGACGGAGACCACAGATCAATATGTGACAGACTGTCGAAGTTTTCCGACTGGCGGAGTGCTATCAACGCAGTTGCCGTGCTCGTCAGATACGTCCGGAGAGTGCGGAGTACCTCTGGTGGAGGAAGACCGACAGAAGGCCGTAGCAACTATCATCATGTCTGTGCAAAAGGAGGCGTTTAGGGAGACGCTTGGGAGTCTCGGGAAGACGACAGACGGACGTCTCCGCAGTTTGGATCCATTCATCGACTCGAAAGGAGTTCTAAACGTGTGTGGGTGGCAGACTCAGCAGATCAACGATGAAGTATGGAGTAAAGCAACCCATTATTCTCCCTAATGCAAAGTCTAGTCATGTGGTTGGCCTGATTGTCATGCATCACCACCAAGGCGTTTCTCATCAGGGAAGAGGGTTCACCATAAACGCACTACGAGAGCATGGCTACTGGATCATAGGATGCAACAGAGCGGTCTCATCCCTGATATACAGGTGCGTGACGTGTAGAAAACTCTGCGGATCATGCCAGACTCAGAAAATGGCGCAGCTACCTGAAGACCGAATCGAACCAGCCCCTCCTTTCACGTACTGTGGGATTGACTGTTTTGGACCATTTGTCGTCAAAGATGGACGTCGAGAACTGAAAAGATACGGACTACTTGTGACGTGCATGGGTTCAAGAGCCATTCACCTTGAATTGTTAGACGACATGTCTACAGATGTGTTCATAAATGGCTTGCGGTGTCTTATTGCCATACGAGGACCAGTGAGAGTCATCCGTTGTGACAGAGGAACAAATTTTGTAGGAGCACACCATGAACTTAAGAAAGCCATGAATGAGATAGATGAACCTCGTGTTAGGAAGTTTCTGGCCATGAACTCGTGTGATTTCCAGATGAATTCTCCTTACGCAAGTCACATGGGCGGAACTTGGGAACGTCAGATTCGTACAGTGAGAAGTGTTCTTGTAGCTCTGCTCGACCAACATGGATCCAGACTCGACACATCGTCCTTGAGAACACTCCTGTATGAAGTCATGGCTATCGTGAACAGCCGTCCCCTCACGGCTCAGAACTTGAACGATGCTCAAGGACCAGAGCCGTTGACACCGAACAATCTCATCACGATGAAATCGAAGCTGATCTTACCACCTCCCGGTGACTTCGTCACAGAGGTGTACGCTCGACAGCGTTGGCGTAAGGTACAATTCCTGGCCAATGAGTTCTGGTCCAGATGGAGAAAGGAGTACCTATCCATCCTTCAGTGTAGACAAAAATGGCGCAAAGAACAAAGAAACATGATGATAGGCGACATCGTGGTCCTGAAAGAGGACTCAGTTGTGAGAGGCCAGTGGCGAATGGCCAGAGTAATTGAAAGCATTATCGACAAAGACGGCCTGGTGAGACGTGTGAAAATTCTCATGTCTCTCTACGTGTGGAAAGCGTCTCTTGGAACCTACGACATTGGAGCGACCTGTTCACAAACTTGTGCTGTTGCTCGAGAGAGAAGCTGTGTAACTTGACTTTGTACCTGCCCGAGAAATCCTGTGGAAAATCATTGTGATTTTGGTGGGGAGTGTAACTGCAGGTGTGTACGCTGCGGATGTTGGACGTATGTTGAGAGCAGGAGCGTGTGAGCACTGTGTACACTTGGTGTGTGTCAATTGCCGGCACAGGGTTAAAATCTGTGTATGTAGTGTATCTGTATGAGTGAAATGCATGTGTATGTGCGAGACTGTAGACATATCATGGGTTTATTTTACTCAATCGTGTTGAACGTTAGATATTTTCCTGTTTTGGGGTGACCGTAGAGCACCTCCGGTTTGCAAGCGGTTATGAGTGTCCTACAAAATGTAGTTCCTGTAATATTCTTATTTTTCGTATAAACGTCCATTGTGTGTCCTATGTATTTTTGAAAGGACAGTAGTGTACGAATTACTGTGTAAATTCATACAAATTCATCTCATTGTAGTTTTGTATGTTCCAGCGTATTAATACATGTATTGGGTGAGAGACTTGTGTTTTGGTGCGACCATAAGTGACCCGCTCCAGCATAATACGGACTAAGTCGCAAGTAATTGTTTTGAGTAATGAGCACCCACACATGTCAATGCTGAAAATGGCCTACCTGGACAAAAATGTAATTTTTACAAAAATAAGTTACTAAGTGCATATTTAATCCGGATATATAGGTTCAGATATCTCTAGATTATTATGGTCATTTTTAATTAAAAAAAACGCTTTATCTCAAAAGCTGCATATTTCGGAATAAGTCGGTTTCCGATCTTCAAATTGCTGTAGATCGGTCAATTCTTTAGATATAGCCAAATATTATATATCATTTTAAAGGTAATTAAATGATCTATTCAGATATGCACATAACTCAATTTGTACGATGCTTCCGACCTGGCAGGTTTCCGATTTTTGCAACCAGAACTTGCAGAAGGCTCAAAGTGGGTTAGTATCGTCACAAATTAATGTTTTTCATATGCACATAAGTAAAGGAAGTTCCCTAGATCTGAGGAGACATTTGTCATATGATGTGCGTCGGAGTAGTTGATCGAAATAGATGTAGAATTGTGTATTTGCGATTCCGACCTCGTGTATCCCACGTATTTTTCATTTCTCAACATGTAAAATGTAATGTACACATATTATGCAAATATGTGCACGTATGTATGTGTAACGTGTGCACGTGTGTGCCAGTGTGTGTAAATGCGTGCTAGTGCACGTGCACTGGAACGTACATGCGTAATAATGAGTGTATGTGCAGGGGCGTGTACAGTGGGGGTGGGGTTCCAGGGGGTCCGGACCCCCCCTGCTCGCGCAGAAAACGCATATAAGGGGGTCTAATTTTAAAAAAATTCTGGGGGAGTGCCCCCCAGGAACCCGCATACTCGCAAGTTTGGGTTACGGTTAGACCCCCCCCCTGGTACAAATCCTGTGCACGCCCCTGATGTGTGTACATGTCATGTTTATAGTCATATTCTAGTCAAAATTAGTGTTCTATTTCAACTACTGACTTAAGAAATACGAAGTACGAACTACGAATACGAAATGCGAAATACGAGTATGACTACGAGTTATGAATATAGGAATATGAATGTGAAATTTAGAAATGTTGCGAAATGTACTTGTTTTCTCGTGTGTAATTATATATATGTTTGTACTTGGTATTATATGTTTGTGTATACATGTGTTACAGTTGACGGTCAATAAACGAGATCCGTGCTGACAAGAGCTCTACTTGTGAATTATCTCAAAACCTGCGACCCGCCGTTACAACACTCCATTACCAGCCTTCAGAAAAGATGACAGTGAAATCAGCATTGTTACACTGTGACCATGACCTTTCCTATTCAATAATATTCATTGAATGAGAGGGGAAATATTGCCATTCTGATTCTTTTTTTAAATCACTAAAATACGGGTTAACGTTGAATTGTATCCTGGCAAGATTTCGATTGAAAACAGACATTTTAACTTGAAATTCACTTAATTAACTTAATTTCCTCCTTGCCATTACTTTATTTGCTACACATAGGCCCAATAGATACAATAATGTAACCCAAACACAGGGGTAGGAGTGTACCCCTGTGTTTGGGTTACATTATAATTGTAAGTGCCTAATCAGTACATGTTACTAACCTGTGGCTGAAAATTTTAATGTCACTGCTAAACGTTCGTTTGTGGCAATGGATTTTCGCATCACTGTGTTCTTCTTGTTTATCCTTGCCCCTACCAGTGTCAGAATTGCATTGAAATGTTCTTTTTTCATTCTAAAATAACGCTGGTACGTCACTGAATCTTCAAGCTCCAATTCTCTTACTAAATTATTAAAAACACCACGCGAATCACGTCGCAGCACCCACGTACGTGCCCATGTACGTCTCTCTCTCTCGCTGCTGTCTGTCGACGACGCCGACGCATAATTATTAAATATATTCCAATAACTTGAAAAACGGCTATCGTGGTGTCAATGGGCGCTTCCATTTTGAACAGGTCACGTACAGTTCATACAGTGGTATGTTGCTGACAGATGGTTGTATTGCATTGTCGCCGGGTGCCGCACACGTGGCGATTTTTATCACTGATCTCTATAATATAATCTGGATAGGGCATTGGCTACGTGTCAGTGACGCCACACGTCCGCCATGTCTCTACTCGCAAAAGTATAGGGATCCGATCTAGCTGCGAGCGACTACTAGCATAGACTGGTCCGCGCTCGACAGTTCCACTCGCGTTACACTGACGCGCGCGGCGCGCTCACTTAACGCGAGTGGAACTGTCGAGCGCGGACCAGTCTACTGCTAGCAATCTCTACTGCAAGCAACTTTACCTTCTCGAGAAATACATTTCAAATTCATTTGTTAGAGTAGAGAATGCCATCCTGTGCAGCTATGAACTCTGTAAGTTGTAACAGTATGTACACAGTGTACGCGAAGGACTACATTGTAGCGCGGTGTTATACAGTGCGCAGTAATACCTAACTCTCTTACTCGCCGGTCACAATGGCGTAAAGCTGTATTATACGAGCGCTCCTAATAAATGCTCATTATCACATATATGTGTTGACATCGTCATTCATCATGGTGGCAGCGGAAACTATGTGTGCTCAAGACGCCTCAGACAGCAACGGCAACTCATGTCAGTGTCGAATGTATGTGTGAAAACCGCGGTGCATAATGCCTCGTTTATGGGCTGAGTGGCTACAGCGCGCCATGCCAACGATCGGCATGTAGTGCCCGGATGCGCGCGCAGCCTTGAGCTCGTCTCGTGCGATGGCAGCACGGTGCGCGTTGTGACAAATGCTGTAGACGGTAGAGCAGTCTACAAGCATGTCGCGTGAGCAAGTTCCACGCATAGACTGGGCTTTGCCTGACCAGGCAGATGCTTTCAAGCTTTTCAAGCAAAGGCTTGAAATATATTTCAAAGTAAAGGGGGTAAAAGACGAGGACCAAGTCAATTATATACTGCTCCAAGTGGGGGATGAGGGTCTTCGCCGCTATAATGCGTGGACGCTAACAGACGATGAGAGGAAATCAGCGAGCGGCATATTCGCCAGATTCGCCGAACAATTAGAACCGTCTGAAAACTACCGTATTAGTCGCCTGAAACTAATGCATTTCCGCCAAAAACAAGGAGAATCCGTTGACGACTTCGTGAATAGAAGTAAGTTACAGGCAATAAGATGTGACTTTGAGGGAAATGAGCTCAATGACAGATTGGTTGAATTGATCATTGCCAGCACCCCTATACCTGAATATCAAAAAGAGTTACTGAGCAAGGACAAAACCTATAAACTAGCAGATGCACTAGTACTAGGCAGGGCATATGAAGCGGCAGACTTACATGTACAACAGCTTAAGGACATGAGTGTACCAACTGCTGCTATACACGGTGTCACTAAACGTGCTAGTGGCATATGCCGTAATTGTGGGTTAAAACACCAGTACAAACCACGGGAACAGTGCCCAGCATATGGAGCAGAGTGCAAAGCTTGTGGCAGAATGAACCACTGGGCACGCGTTTGTCTAGCGAGCAAACAGAAACGATGGCACAAATCCCCACCACGTGGTAGGGGACCCTCAAGGTCTGATTACAAGGGAGGAAAGCCATACCGAGCTCGCAGCAACACTCCTTACAAGAGAGATAACCATAGTCATATGCATGCAGACGCTATCCACAATGCACAAGACAGTGCGGAGGACCTGGGTGAGCGATTTGATAGGTTGCAATTTAGCAACATAACTGTGTCAACCATGTGTCTAGATAAGATGCAACGCGATGAAGCATTCGCAGGTTTAGACATCAAGCTACGCAACCGTCCAGGCGTACACAAGCTCAGACTCAAGGTAGATACTGGTGCTCAAGGAAACACCTTGCCACTATCTGTATTTCGCAGAATGTACCCCAACATGCTCACAACGGAAGGCTACCCCGCACAAGAAATTGCCAGCTATCAGCAATGTTTGTGCTGTTGATTGCACAGTGTAGTGTCACTAATTTTAGCCGTTCACTGGACTGTAGACCAATAACAGCTGGTCCTTCCACGTCCACTATGTAGAATCTGCAGTCGGTCCACTCAGAACCATTATAGCTGCATGGCACGTCAATAGCTCCACAGCACGGGATTGGTGTGCTGTTGTAAGCAGTTAGCCGTGTTCGTTTGGCTGCCGGAATTGTTCGGGGTACAGTCGCTTCAGGTCATGCACGTTCCCTATGGAAGATACGTCTGCTCTCGTAGATGATTTTGTTGTCACGGGGTTTTTCGAGGTGCATCAACGTGCGCTGGCGCATTTGGATCGACTGTAATCTTGAATGTGCCTGGCATACATCCAATCCTGTCTTATTGCACTGAAAGACGAAATAAAGAAAGAGCTGGATTACATGGAAGAAAACCACGTCATACGTAAGGTGACAGAACCATCAGACTGGGTGTCTAGTTTGGCCTATTCGCACAAGAAAGACGGATCCCTGCGTGTCTGTTTGGACCCAAGATATCTCAACCGAGCACTAAAAC